CTTATTATTCTCATTATCACAATGATGACGATTATAATTTCGTCTATTGCCACGTCCACATCCATTGATACCTTCACGGTAATAGTTTTGTCTTCTTTCAGACTTATCACATATTGCTATCACATTCTCTTAAGGGAATGAGAATGAAGCAAATTCAATGGGACGAGTTTCCACTTCTTGCCCACAATCATACATGAATTTGATCATGGCAAGGCATAGAATTTTACCACTTCAGGTGGTTATAATTTCTTACAAACTCCATTAGAGTTATAATCAAACTTTGTTGTCTTTGCTTGTATTTAAAATCAAATTATAGAATTTCAAGAATTTAAAAGAGAAAAATAAAGTAAAATACTTACCTTAAATCCAGAATTTAATCATGAAGGAAGTTCATGGAACAATTGACAATCATTATGCTCAATCCCAAAGCTTCTACTCAATTGGTTAGAGTCTCGTGCTGATAACGTGTTATGAAACAATAAAAGAAGAAGAAGAGTATTGCAGAGAAAAGTAGAGGGAGAGAATTTTTATTGATTTGGGATGAATTACAATGGAATAGAACCCTCTATTTATAGGGAGAGGGTGACTTAGCCACCAAGTAATAAACCCTAGAATCTCTCTAAATATAGACATTCACCATAAATAAAATTCTATTTATAACAATAAGTACATTCTAGTACACTTCGATCGAAATTAAAAGTTTAATATCATTAGCCAAACATTATATTGTGATATAAATATTATTTTTCTTGTATCTCCAACAAAATATTTTACTTAAAACTTATGCCTTTATATATGTTGGAATTATTTTGCTAATGTGGTCAACCAAATTACTCTAATGCACAGGGACATGACCTTATAGTATGAGTGCAGCAGATTCAACCATACTCATTGCTCTATTCAAATGTACAATATTTATTATACAGGACAAAGTCAGACGCAGATTCAGGATTTAAACCTTATAAGTTCAACTTTAAGGTTTTTAGCATTGAATCCGTTATATTTTTAAAGTTATGGATTCATATCTACTATTTTTGCAATTATAATAAATTTTTACATGTTAATTTTTAGTTCATGTCGAAAATTATGGGTTCAATTGAACCTGCGGTAGAACACTACATCCAAGATTTAAACCTTATGAGTTCACTTTTAAGGTTTTAGCATTGAACCCGTTATATTTTAAGATTATAGATTCATATCTACTTTTTTTACAATTATAATAAATTTTTACATGCTAATTTTTAGTTCGTGTCGAAAATTATGGGTTTAATTAAACCTGCGGTAGAACACTACATCCGCCTCCGGACAAAGCTTGTTGTCTCCAGGAACTCGTAGTGTTACTACCAAAAGCAAAAAGATAGGAAAATATGAGCCCAACAAACTTCAAAAGAACAACATAATTGAGTTTGAATCATCCTACGAAAAAGTAATTAGTTGCAATCAAATGACCAAAAATGTTAAGCTAAAGTCTGCCATGATTAAAAAAGTGGGAATGCGTCTGCCGGGAGTCGAACCCGGGTCTATTGCTTGGAAGGCAATTATCCTAACCGTTGGACTACAAACGCTTTGTTGCCACTTGTTCTGTCCCAATTTATTTCTCATTATTTACTTTTTTAATCTGTCCTAAAAAGAATGCCATACTTTATTATTTAGAAACAATTTGATTTTAAACTTTCCACTTTATCCTTAATGAGATGATTTATAGCCACACAAATATATATGTTTTGTATTAGACCATAAGTTTCAAAAAAATTCTTTTCTTTCTTAAATTTTATACCGAGTCAAACACCGTCATATAAATTGAGACTGATAGAGTATTTATTACTTAAATTTATGATAATGTGCTATATTGGGATAACTAATCTCTTCACTTCATTCCTCAACTTATATAAAAGTTTTTTTAAACCCCAAATGGTAGCATCAACATGCTAGCTCTATTCTAAAATTAGTGTATTTGTCCGCGCTCTATTATTTATTTTAAAAGGAAATAAAGTTGTAGGAATTTCATACGAATAAAGACAGGCTTATTATAACCTGTTTGGCCAAGTTGTAAATCAGCTTATTTTGATAAGTGCTTTTTTTCTTCAAAAGTGTTTTTCTCAAAAGTACTTTTGGTGAGAAATAGTTTATTAGCATGTTTGTCCAAGCTGCAAAAATCAGCATATTTTGAGAAATATTTTTCTCAAAAGTACTTTTGGTGAGAAGCAGTTTATGTTTGGCTAATTAATTTGAAAAGCACTTCTGAGCAACAATTAGTGTTTGGCCAAACTTTTAAAAACTGCTTCTAAGTGTATTTTTCTCAAAAGTGCTTTTGGAGAGAAGAGAAGCACTTTTGTTTCTTCCAAAAGCTTGGCAAAAAACAGTGCTTCTTGTATCGGAGAAGCTTGGCGAAACAGGTTATTGCCGTATGTTAATGATAAAAATATGCTTTTTGTTGAAAATTCCTTCATTAACAAACTTAGAAAATTCTAAGTTAAATCATTAGCCAAAAAAAGTGCTTCTTAGATTGGAGAAGCTTGGCCAAACAGGCTATTAGTCGCCGTATGTTAATGACAAAAATATGCTTTTTGTTGGAAATTCCTTCATTAACAAGAAAATTTTAGGTACTATATCATTAGGATCTATATAACATGGAGTAAATATAAACAGAATTCCCTAACAAAACTGGAGCTACAGCATTCACACACATTGATAAAGAAATATCAATAGTCGCACAACAACCCCACAGAAGATGAAAGATGTACTGGTTAAGAGTGCAAGACTTGTCAACTGTACATTTTATGGATAATAATTCATTAACAAAAACAAAAGTCAGCTGTAAGTTAAACCATCCATAATCAAATCAAAGAAATAGCAGATTTACAGTTTAGATGGTAAACTTAAAATATTAATTGCCGAGCTCAAGAAACCCAAATGTATTTTCGCCGCTGTATGTCATGTATAGGAATCCATCTTCATCCTTGTTTTCCTCATAAATTGCAGACATCAGAGCAGCTGCAGTGGAAGAAGATATATCAAGACACAAATTGTCTAGGGCAAGTATGAAATTTAAGGTAACATATTACTTACCAGTTGGAGGGAGAATGTTTTTGACGAAGACAAATATGGCCTTCTCGGCACTGAGATTGATCCTCTTTCGAACCACATAAACAAACTGGCCAACAGTCAAATCAGCTGGGACGAGGTACCTACATCACAAAACAAGACAAAAATTAGTTTACACTACAGCAGCAATAGTTCTGTCGGATCTACTTATATATTAGGAATAATAATCGGCAACTATCATGTGTTAGGAGACTAATTCTGTAAACATGTTGAAGTTTATAGCCCAAATAGCATGATGTTGAAGCATCAGCTGTGTTTAATTTCCAAAAGAAGAAACATATGAATGCCCTAGACGGTTCTCCACATATATATACAAATTAAACTACTAACTATATATTTCAGCAACAACGCCAAATCACCATGGCAACGAAGCCAAAACACATCTAAATCAACCAAAAGTGGCATCCAGTGCTATATAGCAGCAGGAACATGTAGTATTTAGGATACGAAAAACCTCAAATTGGGACCATGAACACCAGGAATCACTGTACAGACCATATTGAAATTGAATCTAACAGAAAATCATATGATTAATGAATTATATCATCAACCTTCATGGCGACAAACTCTGTCAAATTGCTACTCCTGCGAAAATGCATTCTAATAAATGTAAAATTCTGCAGCATTCAGGATATGTCCCCCAAACTTGCATCCAGCACACCATAAATCCATCCCCATCAGGGTGCATAAGAGGAAAAGAAATGGAAACTCATAATCTTACATCAACCATGACAAACCACATTAAAATATCGTGTACTATCAACTTCCAGGCAACAATTCTTGCCAACCTTTTACTACTACAAACAGCATTCACAAGATATATCCCCCCCACCCCCAACTTGCCATGTTAATATCCCCATCCACTGCAAACCCAGGGGGAGGGGCAAAGAAACTCCTAATCTTGAATGAACTATGACAAAACGGATGACCGAACAAGTTGAGATCAGGCAATAAAAATAATAAATAAATAAAAAGTACCACAGGTTAAATAAAAATACTAGGAAGTAAAACCGATATCATCTACCTAGAAGTCAAATATAACCACGAAAGAGAACACAAACTATAAGAGCAAATAGCACACTGAAACCAATATATAGTTGGATTGGATTTGAACACGCATTCGGCGATTTAAATGTATTAACTATAAAGCTTAAAACTGAGCGCCTTATTCTTAACAACCACCATCATGGAAAATCGGAAGCAACTTACTTCTTCTTATCAATGTCAGAGATATCAGCCTTTTCTGCTTTCTCGACAATCACCTGAATGAGAGAACATAGCACTGAGGGATAAGAGTACTGAAGCATCAATGAAGGGCAAGAGCTTTAACAGCAGATATCATACCGGTATTCTGTCTGGGTACTTCTCCCTGATGCGAGAAGATTCTGCCTGCCTCCTCTCTGTTAAAAGAGAAAAAATTCGAAAACATCAACAAAATTTATCGCATTAAAATCATCCTCTAATTCCAGGGGTTTTTTCTTTGAAGGGAGGCAATGGGAAGTTATCAACTCGAGCAAATAGGGATATACTCGGGAGAAAAAGAAAAAAAACATAATAAGAACAGGTAACAGATCTGGTCGATAGAAGGTATAGAGAAATAATTGCAAACCATCAGTTCATATACTAGTCAGCAATTCCAAATCAATCAATCAATCAGTCAACTATGCATCAATCCCAAATCAGTTGGAGTCAGCTATATTGGATCCTATATATCTCTTTTCACTCTATCCGGGTTGATTCCATTTCTATACTAAATATTGCCTTTTAAGGAAAATTACAATGTCACTCTTATCTCTACTTGGATATGGATTAACCTCAACAAGTTGGTATCTTCTATGTGAATCATTTACTTTTATTGTGTTAGGATTTAGCTAAACATCCATTAGTGCCATGAGATTTTAGTAAATTAAATAAATGAGAAGAAATATAGTGACATGAATATGAGGTTAAGCACTAAAAAGAAACAAACATGAAACAATCCCAAACCAGTTGGTGTTGGCTAAAAGAATTACCCGTATTTGTTTCACTCTATATGGACATATTTAGTTTCAATAATCAATAGTTTGTTTTTAACACCAATTAAGATGTTCTCTAAGAACAAGATGTTCTTTAGATCCCATACTTATTCTAACATATAAATCCCTAACCAAACTAAAAGGACTTGAGCTAACCCCGCATCTGATGTAGTACCAACGATGACTAAATAAGCCTTAATACCAATTACTAGTTGGTATTATCAATGCACATCTACATTTTTATTCCTTGTTGTAGATACCCACATATGCAAAAGAAGGAAGCACTCAGGCACACTCTTAATGCACTATTAACGGAATAAAGTTGAGATATTCAATAAGCGGATATGATCGCAAGTATGGGTTATGAAAACATCTCAAGACGAAACTCCATAAGCATCTCAAGGTCCATAATGCAAAGGCAGAGACGAATACTACACTAATTTCATGCATGTACAGCTACTTTAAATTTCATGCACCAGAATCCAGATATATTCCTAGAGTCGGGAAGAGTAAGAACAGAACATATACCAACAGACCATGACAGGACACAGCTCATATCTTCATTGAAATCCGGTTGTTGCCTTTCGAAATAATTAGCTTTAGTCAATTAATAACCCTAAAAAAGACAACTACAATGATGAATAGGATGTAACGAGGCCACAAAATATAAACATCACTAGACTGCCCATATCCTAGCATCTGTCAACATCGTGGATCTAGTATTTGGATAGCGGGTATAGCTGCGCCTGCAGCGTGTGCAGGCACCACTATAAAACACGTAGAAGCATACAATGACGGACCTAAATAGACTGTGTTCAAGTACCCATTGTTCTTGAACCAACCACTATATTCTTTCTTTTTTTCTTTTGTGTCGGGTGGTGCACGGGCCAACTTGTGCTACCTCCCACCGGCACAGGTAGGAACCACTATATTTTTATATGTATAACTAGTATCAACATATAAATTGATTGACCACCCTTCTGTGATTAGTAGAAACACTAGATTGAAAGCAGATGAGCATCCATGACTAAAATTCCTGGCTCTGTGTATGTATACACATATATAAACACACACTAAGTGCGCACCCATTGACTCTACACCTACTTAAACTCCCGGATCCATCTCTACCTGTCAATAAATAATTTCCCGCATAATCAAAACAACAACAACTACTGCTACTACTACTACGTAGACTATGTTCAACAATAAAAAGTTTAACGAAGGATATAAATACACAGGAGCAGACTAATAAGACAAAAGCCAAACATGAAACATACCAAAGAAACAAATTTTGAATGTATTAGGAATTTTTCCAATAATTTATAATTTAAAAAAAAAAAAACATACCCAAAGGGTGTTCAAGTTTAAAAGAACTCTTGGCCATTGCAATACTTGAACTCTGATCTCTTCCTGCAAATTTCATACATCTAAAGAACATCAGATAGAATTCACATAAAAAAGCCTTTTTCACTCACCAAAAAAAATAAACACACAATATTTACAAACTTAATAAACGCAAATAAAAGTTGTATTTGCGTGTAGAAAATCACCAGAAAACACAAAAACCAGCAATTCACGCAAGAGGATATCTTTCAAATTTACCCAAAAAAAGTAACAAAACAAATAAATTCAATCAAGAACTGATGGTTATGACTTATGAGAGTATTTAACAGAGAACAAAATTAGGGCTTTTTTATACGTACACGAAACGGAACTACTCAAAGTTGATTAGATTCACAAGAGAACTTTTTTTCCAACTACGAATTTCTCTAATTTTATATGTTAAGGGTCGGGTTCGGTGAGACGTTGTTATTTAAATAAACGACGTCGTGAGAGTATGTTAAAGGGAGAAACGACAACGTTTGGTTTGCGTGCGGTGGCGATTTGCGCATCTAATGAACCTAACCTATTTGATTTAGTAATGCCTTATACGAAGTCCAAGGAAAGAATCAATTTTTTCTATATTTAAGAATCCGTTAGTCAATTAAAAAAAAGAGACACATAATTCCTAGAAAAGAAATAAGGAATTACTCCTACTTTCTAATTGATTTTACTATACCGTTGACCCCTAACAAAGCTCCTAACATGATGACAACTTTTAACTTGTTATAAAATATTTAGTAAATGTGGATGTCCACTACTCCCACTATTTTCACCTATGATGTAAATTACCTCCCACTACTCATCACCATTATGATTGTAACTCCCACACCTCCATAACCCCTCCCATGATCTCCCCCCATGATCTCAATTGTTAATGTCATGTTTAAGACAATGATTTTGTAACCTTCATATGTAATAGTATAAATAGAGGCATGAAATGTGAGATGGAATACACTTAAACACTTGATGAAATAAGAAAGTTATCTCTTCTTCTCTTCTTCTACTTATCTTCTGTTTTATATTGTTACTTTGAGCTACATTTTTTAACACGTTATCAACACGAAGTTGAGCTCTTTTCGTTGTTCAGGTATATTTGTTCATTTTGTTTTTTTTTTCGTTGTATATTTTGATTTCATGATTAGTGTCTTTAATATGCCATTTTATAATTTCTCACATCTCTAGATATATGTAAAAATAAAAAATTCTATGTTTCTTTATTTTAAGTTATTTGCATGATTGTCATGTGAAAGTTGCTAATTTTTATGTTAATAGAATTAATTGAGAGAAGATATTTTGTTCTAGTTAACATCAAAGATATACTAATAATTTGAAGAAAAATATATTATTCTTTTCTATGGAATTATCACTTTAGTGTATATATAGATCACAAATTTGATATTATGTCAATTTTTAAGATTCTTTATGTTATTATCCTAATGATTTCTAATTAGTTATCTTCTTTGATAGTTTTTACTATGTCGAATTTGTCAAAGCTTGAGTTTGTGGCACTTGACATTTCTGAAAAGAATTACCTATCATGGGTTCTCGATGCTGAGATTCACTTAGCCGCTAAAGGCCTTGGTAACACCATTACTCAGGGTAATGAGGCATCAAGCCAGGACAAAGCGAAGGCCATGATTTTCCTTCGTCATCATTTGGATGAAGGTTTGAAGGTTGAATATTTAACAGTGAAAGATCCACTTGAATTGTGGACTGGCCTGAAGGAAAGGTATGATCACCTTAAGGCTACGGTATTGCCAAGGGCTCGATATGAGTGGATGCACTTACGGTTGCAAGATTTTAAGACCGTAAGTGAGTATAACTCTGCTGTATTTCGAATAACTTCCCAATTGAAATTATGTGGGGAAGTTATGAATGATGAGGATTTGCTGGAAAAGACTCTTACGACTTTTCATGCCTCAAATATTGTATTACAGCAGCAATACCGTGAAAGGGGTTTCAAAAAGTATTCTGAATTGATCTCATGCCTTCTGGTGGCTGAGCAACATAATATCCTTTTGCTGAAAAATCATGAAGCCCGTCCCACAGGGTCAGCTGCGCTTCCTGAAGCGAATATGGCAGCTAGACGTGATAAGTCTGGAAAAAGGCAGAATAATAATCATGGCCATATGAATGTACGTGGGCATGGCAATGGTAAGAGACGATATAATAGTCGTCATCATGGTGGTCATGGCAAACGAGAGAACAATATGGGTTCTCAAAACAATCCTTCAAGAGGCAAAAGCGGTACTGCCACCGCTGTGGCATGAAAGGTCATTGGAAAACTGAATGTCGTGCACCTGAGCATTTTGTCAGGCTTTATCAAAACTCCATCAAAAGAAAGACAAATAATGTTGGAGCATCTTCTGCTAATGCCCCAGTGGAGTCACACTTGACCTTTAAAAATAATTTTGAGGCAGGGCCTTCAAACAAAAATGATGACAATGCCGAGGCCTTGCTTTGAATGATGATGATTTTCAAGGCCTCGATGATCTTACTCATTTGAAAGTTGAAGACTTCTTTGGAGATCAAAACTAAAGTTTGATCATTTTACTGGGGAATGCAATTATATTATTTTTATTTTCAGTGGTTTTTTTTTGTCTCGTTCTAAAGTTGTTTTTTATTTTCAAGTAGTACTTAAGTTGTCTTATGTTGTCGTTGGTGATGTTAGTTTTTTCCGTATTTCTCATGATGTACTTTTATTTTTTTTATGAAGAATATAAAATTCCCCAGTCTTCAATTGGATCCAAGATGAGTAATGAAGATTTATGCCTTTTGGATAGTGCTACAACTCACACAATATTAAGAGAAAAGAAATTTTTCTCTTATTTGGTTATGAAAAAGGCTTATGTTAATACAATATCTGGTAGTACAAAGTTAATTGAGGGCTCTGGAAGAGCGGCCTTATTACTACCTGGAGGAACGATATTAACTATTAATAATGCATTGTATTGTAGTAAGTCTCAATGAAACTTGTTGAGTTTCAAAGCTATTCGCCAAAATGGCTATCATGTTGAGACCTCTAACGAAGGAAAGGTTGAATACCTTTATATTACTACAATAAAAGCGGGGAAAAAATGTGTGCACGAAAAATTACCCGCATTTTCTTCTGGGTTGTACCACACAAATATTGGTGTGGTTGAATCACATGCCATAGTAAATAAAAGGTTTACTACTTCTAACGATTTTATCATTTGGCATGACCGGTTGGGCCATCCCGGTTCTAACATGATGCGCAGAATAATAGAGAATTCAAATGGGCACACATTGAAGAATAAGAAGATTCTTCAATTTAAGGAATTCTCTTGTGCTGCTTGTTCTCAAGGAAAATTGGTTATTAAACCATCAGCAGCTAAAGTTGGGATTGAATCCCCTGCATTTCTGGAACGTATACATGGTGATATATGTGGGCCTATACACCCTCCATGTGGACCATTCAAGTATTTTATGGTCTTGATAGACGCATCTACAAGATGGTCACATGTGTGCTTATTGTCAACTCGTAACATGTAATATGACATTTGCGAGATTGTTGGCCCAAATAATAAGGTTAAGAGCACAATTTCCAGATTATGCAATTAAGACAATTCGTCTTGATAATGCTGGTGAATTTACATCTCAGGCCTTTACAGATTATTGTATGGCCACTGGAATAAAAGTTGAGCATCCGGTTGCTCATGTTCATACTCAAAATGGTCTAGCAGAATCATTGATTAACGACTTCAACTAATAGCTAGACCATTGCTAATGAGGACAAAACTCCCCCTTTCAGTGTGGGGACATGCTATTTTGCATGCAGCAGCACTTGTGCGCATAAGGCGAACCAGTTATCATAAAGTCTTCCCATTACAGTTGGCTTTTGGTCAGGAGCCAAATATTTCCCATCTAAGAATTTTTGGATGTGCAGTATATGTTCCAATTGCTCCACCACAACGCACAAAGATGGGTCCCCAAAGAAGGTTGGGAGTATATGTTGGTTATGAATCTCCTTCTATTGTTAAATATTTGGAGCCTATGACAGGAGATTTGTTTACAGCCAGATTTGCTGATTGTCATTTTGATGAATCAGTTTTTCCAACATTAGGGGGAGAAAATAAACAGCTAGAAAAAGAGATAGATTGGAACGTATTATCTCTATCTCATTTGGATCCTCGTACAAATCAATGTGAACAAGAAGTTCAAAAGATTATTTATATGCAAAATGTTGCAAATCAATTGCCAGATGCATTTACTAACCTTCCACGGGTTACTAAATCGCATATTCCAGGTGTAAATGCTCCAATTCGAGTTGATGTCCCAGCTGGACAGTATGATGATCCAAATGAGTCTAGGCCACGCCTTAAACGTGGTAGACCAATTGGTTCCAAGGATAAGAATCCCCGAAAAAGGAAAGGAGCAAATGATCAAGTTGATCATAACATAGAGGCAATTGCTCAAGAGGAACATAAGGACATAGCAATTTATAAGACCTCACAGGAGGTTCTAGTATCGGGAAATGATGAAAATGAAGAGATCTCAATAAGTTATGTCTCTACAGGAAAAAGGTGGAACCGAAATAATGTTGTGGTTAATAACAATTTTGCATATAATGTTGCAATTGAAATAATGCAACAAGATGAGGATCTTGAGCCAAAATCTGTCGATGAATGTAGACAGAGAAATGATTGGCCAAAATGGAAAAATTCAATTCAAGCAATTGGCTCACTCGAAAAACGTAAAATTTCGGGAACAATAGTCCGAACGCTTGAGGTGTCAAGCCAGTGGGTAGAAATGGATTTTTATGCGAAAACGAAATGAGAAAGGTGAAGTCGTAAGATATAAAGCACGACTTGTGTCACAAGGGTTTTCGCAAAGGCCTGGCATTGATTATATGGAGACATATTCTCCTGTGGTAGATGCAATTACCTTCAGGTATCTAATAAATCTGGCAGTCCATGAAAAGCTTGATATGCGATTGATGGATGTTGTCACAGCCTACTTATATGGCTCACTGGATAATGAAATTTTTATGAAAATCCCTGAAGGATTTAAAGTTCCTGAAGCACATAAAAGTTCAAGAGAAACTTGTTCAATAAAGCTTCAGAAATCCTTATACGGATTGAAGCAATCAGGGAGGATGTGGTACAATCGCCTTAGCGAGTATTTGCTAAAGGAAGGGTACAAAAATGACCCTATTTGCCCTTGTGTCTTTATTAAGAGGTCTGGATCTGAATTTGTCATCATAGCTGTGTATGTTGATGACTTGAATATCATTGGCACTTCTAAAGAGCTTCTAAAGGCTATAGAGTGTTTGAAGAAAGAGTTTGAAATGAAAGATCTCGGTAAGACAAAATTTTGTCTTGGCCTACAAATTGAGCATGTACCAAATGGAATTTTTGTCCATCAATCAACATATACTGAAAAGGTTTTAAAGCAATTTTACATGGATAATGTACATCCATTGAGTACCCCAATGGTTGTGAGATCGCTTGATATAAATAAAGATCCATTTCGGCCTCAAGAAAATAATGAAGAGCTCGTTGGTGATGAAACTCCATATCTTAGTGCAATTGGGGCACTGATGTATCTTGCCAACAATATTCGACCAGATATTGCTTTTGCAGTGAGCTTATTAGCAAGATTCAGCTCCTCCCCAACAAGAAGACATTGGAATGGTGTTAAGCATATTTAGATATCTTCGGGGAACCATAGATATGAGATTGTTTTATTCTAATAAATTCAAGTCAGAAATGATTGGCTATGCCGATGCAGGTTATTTGTCTGATCCACATAAAGCCCGATCTCAAACAGGCTATTTGTTTACATATGGAGGTACTGCTATATCATGGCGTTCAATGAAACAAACAATAGCTGCCACATCTTCAAATCATGCTGAGATAATAGCCATTCATGAAGCTAGTCGGGAATGTGTTTGGTTAAGATCAATGACTCAGCATATTCAGGAAATGTGTGGTTTTCTTATGAAAAAGGATAATCCGACAATACTATATGAAGACAATGCTGCTTGTATTGCTCAACTGAAAGGAGGATACATCAAAGGAGATAGAACAAAGCATATTTCACCAAAGTTATTTTTCATGCATGATCTTCAACAAAATAGTGAAATTAATGTTCAACAGATTCGTTCATGTGAAAATTTGGCTGATCTGTTCACTAAGGCTTTACCAACCTCAACATTTGAGAAGTTGAGACAGAAGATTGGAATGCGACGTCTTCGAGAAATAAAGTGATATTTTCATGAGGGGGAGTAAGATACGCGCTGTACTCTTTTTCCCTTAGCCTAGGTTTTGTCCCACTGGGTTTTACTGGTAAGGTTTTTAACGAGGTAGCAAATAAAGCGTATTAGAGATATGTGTACTCTTTTTCCTTCACTAAGATTTTTTCCCACAGGGTTTTTTCTTAGTAAGGTTTTAACGAGGCATATTATCTATTTTTTTGGACATCCAAGGGGGAGTGTTACAAAATATTTAGTAAATGTGGATGTCCACTACTCCCATTACTTTCACCCATGATGTAAATTACCTCCCACTACTCATCACCATTATGATTGTAACTCTCACACCTCCATAATCCCTCCCCATGATCTTCCCCCATGATCTCAATTGTTAATGCCATGTTTAAGACAATGATTTTGTAACCTTCATATGTAATAATATAAATAGAGGCATGAAATGTGAGTTGGAGTACACTTGAACACTTGATGAAATAAGAAAGTTATCTCTTCTTCTCTTATTTTACTTATCTTCTTGTTTTATATTGTTACTTTGAGCTACATTTTTTAACAAGATTATCATTTTCTAGTTGTTTTCTTTATGTGTTGCTTAATATCCAGCGAGCTGTTGCACATCTAACAGAAAAACATACAAAGAATTATATGTAATTAGAAAAAAGAAAAAGAAAATAGTGGGGTCGAAATTAAGCTGTTACTACTTTAGCCTCTCCTTTTGTAATTTATGAAGCTGTTTAACTTCGACTCTAATTAGTACTCGAGTATTAATCCACCGTATAGAATACATATATTTGGTATATTACCAAAAATATGTTTTAATCATATAGGGATCTATGCTAATAAATGTTGCCCACTTTATTTTTAAATGAGCGACTTTGAAAACCGTGAGATCATAAATAAAACTTGGAAATCTTGTTCTTCTTTCGAGAATAAATAAATTAATTCGACAACAAACATAAACGCTGGAGCAGTTGCATGTGTATAATTAATAGTTCATCCAGTCCATAATAAGTGACCAATTTGCTTTGAGCACGCGTACTA